ACAACAGCTAAAAATACAAACTGGCAGGCAAAGCAGATGTCCTTGGATGGTGAACAGCTAAACCAGCAGAAATCTCAGGAGCCTTTGCACTATGGACCTGTTTCCACACTGATGGCATGCAGATGAGCGTGTGTCGAGTTCGTTGCTGTTTACTCGCAGAGCGCATGACCCTGCCTGTTACACGACAATGAAACAGCTCTGGGTTGTGCTCTTGACGTAACTTTTTCCTTTGCACCATTAACACATCCTGAATTTTCTAGAATTGAAGCAGGGAGAGTTGAAGTCAACTGGAGGAGGAGGGGTGTGATGGGTCGGGAGCAGAGGGCCTGCAGGACTAGATCCTGAGTCAGGGGCTTCCTCTTTGAGACTATTTCCACAGTGGTCTTTTGACATGAGCTTGTGCAAGGGTGGGTTATATTTCTTTAGTAATATCTTAGAAGGACTTGCCACTATAGAGCCTGAGTTTTGCTGATGTCCAGTGAAACAGAGTCTTGAACCACTTTATTCATTTTTAAATGCTTTCTTTTGCCCCCAGGGTCATCTTCCATGGTGTTAAAATCCTGCCTAGGAAAGTGTGGTGGCACATTGTGTTTGCCATTGCCATGTGGACACAGACTCAGTGCAGAGGTCTGTATGTGTGTGGACAGATGGCAGGGTTCCTCATGTACAAGCTCTTAACTGCTTGTCTTTCAGCTGGCCAGCTCTTAACGCACACTTTGTGAAGCGCTGCAGATGATGATGTTGATATTTCGCTTGTCACTGGCAATTAGTGCTAACATGCAGCTCATAAATCTGCAAATGAGACGCTGAGTAAGAGCCTCAGATTCCATTGTGTCAGTACTATTTGATTTCGCTGTCCTGTGATTTCTTTGTTTTCTGTGTTGAACACCTAGGATGGCTGCAGGTTAAAGATACCGAGTTACAGAAACAATCTAAGCTGGTTTATGAGCTTGGTGCTAGGGAGGCAATTTCCTTAAGAAGTTTTTCTCCACGAATCAAATGTAATGGATTTGCTCTGGTAGAGGGAGCTTGATTTAATTTATCAACAAATAAATGTACATGTTTGCATTTCTTCTTGTATTTGTAGTTCAGCAAGAACATACGGTACACCTCAAAATAAAAATCAGTATTGCGAGCTGGTTGTTCTTGCCCGTTTCAGCAGAAGCTCGACTCGCTGTGTAACCGTTTCCTAATGAACTGAAGTTGTAGAAGGTGCATATCTGCGTGGTAATAGACTGCTCTTGGCAGCTGCAATAAGCTGGCAGCTTCCTGGCGAGTGCTGGGAGTGTGTTTGGGTTTACGTGTACATGAATTTTCCCTGAAATTGTCCTTGCCGTGTTTTTGGTGGGGCTTGAAGGGCTCCCTCTCCCACCCTGGCTGGGTGGGGTGCAGCTGATGTAGCCACAGCAATGGGAGACAGAGCTGGGATCCCTGCTGCCCACCCTGCCTTTGGCTGCCTCAGAGAGCTCAGTAATTGCTTATTAATTAATCTGTTGCCTGCAGAAGTGGAGATGAAGAGGCTGTGGGCGGCAACAGCCAGGCAGGGGCAGTGGTGGAGCAGGAGGCGTGCAACAACTGGCAGTGCCATGGCAATGGTTCCACAGGCACCAGCGGGAACTTGGCTCCATCACAGTCCTGGCAAGGACTCCATGGGACGGTGAAGCCACCGTGGCCGCTGCTCGTGCAGTGGGGCCCGAGGGCCTGAGCAGGAGTGCCAGTGCCATGCAGGGCCGCAAGGCAAACCTCACCCAGCGTGGCCAGGGGCTGCGTGCCGCCGTCGCCTTGCAAGGTGCTGCCCCTTGCAATTGGGATTGCAAGGAATGAGCGGGGGGCTCTTGATCTCCCCCATCATCCTGCCCAGTACCAACAATGCCTTAATGTCCTGCAGAGCGAGGGAGGAGACTTTTTGCACAGTCATGTGAGGAAAAGCTCGCTGAGAACAGAAAGCTGTTCCCGCGTCTGCGTGAGGTGGTGCAGGAGAATGTCCGAGAGGTACGACCAGGTGCTGGCCCTGCAGAGCCAGCTCCTCCACCAGCCCAGGAGCAGGCAGTGCCAGGCAGCTATGGGATGTGAGCGTCCCTGGTCTGGTGGTGACGTTCCCTTTGCTCCTCTCCTGCCCACAGTGCAACAAGCTCACCAGCTCTGATGCTCATGTAGTGCAGCAGCACACGGGCATTGCTTTGGCTGGGAAGACAGTGGAGGTAATGGCAGGGTCTGGTGGGCACGGGCTGCTTGCAGGGGCTGGGGCTCCAGGGATGCTTGGGAGAGCATGGTACACAGCAGAGGCACCTGATGCTGGCACAGGGGCAGCTCCACAGGGCTGGTGTGGTGAGACACGGGGTGGTCACCTATGGTCCCGTGAGTCCCTTTCCACTGCACAACCCATCCATGCAGGTCCTCCTTTAGATCCCTGAGCCGATCCAGAGATCCTGGCCATCCCACCCAGCATGTCCCTGGGGCTGCCCAGGTTCCTGCAGGGTCCAGCTGCATCCCTGGGAGAGAGGCTGTCTCTGCCCTTCCCTGCCTGTCCCAAGGTTGTGACCTGGTTACAGCCCATGGATGTGGAGGATCTGGCCCAGCTGAGCTGCCTTTGCCCCGGGCCTCTTGCAATGACAGAGCGGTGTTGCCGCTCTCTGCCTGCATCTGCATCTTTGGCTCAGATCGATTTGAATGCTGCCTGCACTGTGCAGCGTCGCTAAGCCCGACCCACCACTGCCATCAGCGAATGTCCACCTCTGCCTTACCCCAACCAGACCCCAAGGCAAAGCTCTCCCATAACCCCTTCTGCCAAGGGAGTGATGATGTCCCAGAGTAACGTCGTGGTGTCCACAGCTTTGTTTTGTTGGGGGAGTTTTGCAGGCAGGACCCCCTTCTCCTGCGAGTGCCCAACAAGCCCAGCCTCCAACCTGAGGAACTCTTGTATGCCCATCCAGGAGGCGCAGGAGAAACTCCGAGCCAGCATCTTTGAGCTGGTGAACACATGTAACGTGCTGCTGTACCAGGTGAGACAGCGGACCCAAGCCCGGGATGAGCTGCAGAGGCACCTGCAGCAGTTGCAGGATGCTGAGATGAGTGACAAGCGGTACCAGGAGCAGATGAAGGTACCCAGGACCCCTTCCTGGGGTGGCAGCACCCAGAGGAGGCTTTAATCCAACCCCTGGGTGCTGGGCTCGGCACGTCGGGTCACCCCATGTCACCCTCCCATCTCTGCCCCAGGTGGTTTGCCAGCTGGAGAACAACATTGAGAAGATGCTCGTGAAGGTCCACACTGGACAGAAGCTGACCGCCCTGTACCTGGTGGTGCGGGATGTCCTGAGGAAGGCGAGCTTCTCCTCACCATGCCATCGTCCCACCAGCTCTCCTTGCAAAGGTCATGAGGTGCCTCAGGGGTTGCACTGGTGGGATGCTGTCCTGGCTCGGTGAGGTCCTCCTGCTCCCCTCTGTCCCCTGTCATAGCACAGGGAACCCCCAGAACTTGGTAGGGTGACACACTGTGACTCCCTGTGTCCCACTTGCCTCATCACCTGGACCTCTTGTGCGGGATGGCCAAGCTGTACCACAGCGAGGTAGAAGACATGGAGTTCGTGGCCTTGAATGCCCTCAATGCTGCTGATGTAGCCAAGGTGAGATGATCCGGGGCACCCTGGGGCCCTGTCCCACCACGTGCTCGAGCTGGTGAGTTCCTGCAATAAAGAGCAAAAGGGACTGAACTGGGCTTGCCCACAGCACCCAGGTGCATCCATAGCTCTTCCTGCATCTTGCTCTTGGGCCAGGCTACCCTGGGGCTGGGGATATTATGCCCAAAGCACCGGCCATGGTGAAGGCAGCATGGTTCCTCCTCCCGCCT